GGTGAGTAAGGTGAGTAAGGTGAGTAAGGTGAGTAAGGTGAGTGAGGTGAGTGCAAAGGGGAGTGGGAGGGTGAGTTTTTATAAAAGCGGCGCGGCGGGTGCGAGTTGCACGTGACCTGTGAGCAGTTTGTACTCATCTTCCGGTACCAAGAAAACGACACTTGAATTCAAGGCAAACACTTGGAACAGTTGACTCAACCTCTTCCATTTCAATTACATTACAGCATCGCCCTGGAGTCTCTACCTCTCAGGCTCTTGCTCTTGCCCTCTCTATTCTGGCTGCTCCCACAGCTCCAGCAGAGCCTTGTCCCATCGATGCTGTCTGCCCTGTTCACATGCTATCCACCTTCTTCGCTTCCATTGTCATCCCCCACTGCCATTTAAAGAGTTGATCCGGGGTGACGGTCCACAACATGGTATCAAAGACCCAGCCATAACCGCCATAACCATATGACACGACACATACGCCAAAAGCGCCTCGCATGCTATATGTTCCTCCCAGGTCCGTCCGAAAATGTTCAATGCAAAAGACTCGCTGCCCAGCAGATGGTATCATTAAGGAGTGTTCCTGCCAATCCCAATTCCCGAATCTATGCACAGTGCGCCGTTCAACTTTTGCACTCGACTGAGAACACATTCTGACCCAGCTTAACCTGCCTAAAAGCCGTGATCATCAACAAAAGGAAATTCGTCTGGGTATCATTGCATCATCATCGCATCCTTGGGCAGGCACCAAACGAGTCCCGTTTTGCCACCTGGTTTTACACCGTAGGTGCACCAGGTTGTTTGGAGCTCAGCCCGCCTAGCAGAGCCTCGGGGGGTACCCGATGGATGTTCGAATGCTTGTCCGTATACGGGACGCTGGGTACGGTCTTGTATCCCGCGCGTCGTCGCTGAATGCGATTGAGGATGATGCCGATTAAGATTATGAGAAAGAGTGTGCCGAGTGCAGCACAGAGGGCAACGAGGATGACTATACCAAGAGAATGGCCGCCACCTAGAACGACTAGTCAGTACAAGAAACAGAGTAGGATCGGGGACGACTCACCACTTCCTCTTAGAACGTTGTTGTTGGAGGTGAAGACTTGGCTGATGCTGCCTGGACTTCCGTCTGATGTCGAAGCCAAGATCAAAGGTTCCATATGGGTGCCGTTGAACAGGGCTGCTGCCGCATTACCAAAGCCAGTGATGTTCAGCTGGCCGCTGACCATCAAGGTGTAGTCGTTGTCGAGGTAGGGAGTGGATCGATGGTTCCTGGTCAACGGCATGATTTGCAGGCCACGGATGGTAGTATCCGAGCCGAAGACATCCGGGACAGGCCTCGCATCCGTACCGTCAATCTCGACCAAGAACGTCGAGCCATTGGTGGCACTGCCAGCTATCCACATGGTATTCGCATCGGCGGTGGCGGGGCAAAAAGCAGTTACTGGGCCAGGGATACCACTGACGGCTAATACATCCCACGTCTGACTTTTAGTATTGTACGTCGCGAGGGACGTTCGATTGCCCTGGACTGTCAAGTCGCCCGCGGCCAGAAGTTCCCTGTTCGATCTCCAGAACAAGGACGATACCGTGCCCTCCAAGCCAGTGCCGACTGGGCTCCACTGATTCGACAAAGTGTCGTAGCTGCACACAACCGGGCACGACAGATCCTGTGAAGTGCCTGAAAACGCTCCACCCACGTAGACGGCGGATGTGCCAGATTGTGGAGCAATGGCGTTGACAACCACGTTGGGCCCTCGCAGGGAAGCCGGTTGAACGTCTCGAAATGCTGCAGTACTCATGTCATACAGAACCAAGCCAGCCACGTTGGCGTTTCCAACTTGTCCAGAGACGTTGCCACCGGCGAAGAGAATATTTCCTGAGAGGGCCATCGCCACAATGGTGGAGTTTGTGTCTAATCCTGGAGGAGGTCCAGTCACTCGGTTGTTGTTGGAGAAATTCAAGAACATAAGATTCTCAATGATAGCACCACCCGTGGCAGTTGCGGCGAAATGACCTCCCATGATGGTCACATTCTGATCGTTTTCGGTGTAGTATAGGCCTGTTGTCACCCCATTCACGTCTTGGACAACCTGAACAGCTCGCTTCTTGGTGCTGGGCGGCGCATCACTTGATGTGATATCAACAGGAAGCTGTGAAAGCACGATCTGACCAGACTCTGATCGCATGCCTGCGGCTCCACTGACGGCCAACCCGAGGGAGTCAAGGGTGCCGGCTCCCAGCCAGGTGTTGTTCGGGAGGAATGTTGCAGCGAACAATTGACCTGCCAATGCTTCCTTTGGTACGTCCAGGTGGGCAAGCCACGCACTTCTTGACGGTACCCAGATTGCCAGTCCCGCTGCTCGGGTTGCAGGCGTAGACCCAGAGCTGCGGATCTGGTTGAATGGGCCGCTGAAGGCGATCACGGTCTCGGAGCCGCTCTGAGAGAGATTCAGCTGCATTGGCTCGACAGCTTCGACAGGTCCGTTCAGTCCAGCACCCAATGCGACCCATGTGTTCTTTGAATATTGGTACGCTGCAACATTGCTCAGTCCGTTCATATTGTTTCGGGCAACGTTACTGAAGTTGCCTCCAACGTACAGAAAGTCGTCCAAGCTATAGACGTCGCTGACGGCGGAATTAAGACCACCTCCAGGCAAAGAAGAGGCGTTGTTGTCGCTGAAACCCATGATGTTTTCAAAGACATCGTCCGAGAAGCGGCCAGCTACGTACAGCGTGTCATCTTTGGCTGCCATGGCCAGCACGTTAGCATTCGGCTTGAGCATGGTGCCAGCATTGTTAATGGCATATTCTGAGAAGTCAGCGGTGGCATAGTCGATGGTAGTGTTTTTGGGGTCATAGTCGAACAAGCCATTGAGACCGCCGGTAGTTGAGCCGGTGAATCCAAATTTCACTCGAGATGCGACCACTAACTGGGCTTGTTGCAGCCCCGATGGTCTGAGGGTCACAGATGGTCGGAAAGATGTGGTGGTGGCGTCGACATAGCCTTGAAAGACAATGTCATACTTGTCAAAGTTATTTGTTTGGAAGAGAGTGGTGCCAAATGTCTGCTTGCCATCCTGCGTCAGACTGCCAGTGACGTTAACAATAGCACGTGCGGAGCAAGAGCTATCCTGCAGACAACCTGGCGTGTAGACAATAATCGAGTAGTTTCCGCTCTTCTGCACATTAGGCTGGAAGATGATGTTTGCCGTGTTTACGTCCTCTGGGCCAACCACGACCGTGAGGTACTCGGACACGCTTTGCAGCGAAGGAGTGGTGTACCATGGTCCAGTCGCAGTCGCGGTGGAACCCAGGCCATCAGCCTGGCATGTGGGTTCATTGAAGGACTCGATAGCGTAGGAAAAGATATCGTTTTGGAATAGCTCGATGCCACCGAGTCCGGCTCCATCTCCGTACCAGTCCGAGATGTCGATACTGAAGCTGTTCATGCCGACCAGGTTGACGAAATAGAAGTCCTGATATGGCTGTGTCGCGTTATACTCGGCCAGTGGACATGTTGATTGGCAGGCGATGAGATCTCCTGTAGCTCGATCGGTGGTGGTAAGGTTGAGGATTCCGTTGAGCGGGTGCGCAGTAAATCGCCAGGTCTTTGTGCCTCTCCCAGCTTGGCTCGTCTGCCATAGTCGGAGCCTGGTGGGTTCAAAGCCAAATCCAAAATCAGCGCGCCATCTTCCCGGCGTAGCGTCAGCCAGCAAGAAGTCTGATGCTGAATTAGAGTTATTCGATGGACAGACAATGTTGTTACCCGTCGTCGTATTTCCTTGGGCAGAGATGTTGGCGGTCGATAGGTTGATGACTTGAGTCTCGGGATCGTTCAGAGACGAGAAAGTGACATTGCCCAAGCCTGTGAACGAGCCTCCGAAGACAATGTGTCCGTTGGGAGCTTTGGTGATGGAGCTGACCGGGCCATCGAAACCTGCAAAGGGCAAGCTGGACCAGTTCCCTGCTGCCCAGCCGATCGCGTTTGTAGAGTTGCCAGCGTCGAATGCACCACCAACGTAGAACATCGAGTTGGCTTGATCACAGTAGAGCGCCGATACCGTTCCCTGCACTCCTCCAATCGCCCGGACCTCAAGAGTGGTGGCGTTCAACAACGCCAAAGATCGCGCCGCGACACCCCCGACGCTGGTAAAATTGCCTCCCACGACAATCCCCATCAGTGTATCATTAACCACCAGCGGACACATTGCTTCGATGCTGGCATCTGTAGAGGAGAGCACGTCGAATGCGCCGTTCGGTAATTGTGACAGTACTGATTGTGTGCCATTGTTATTATATCCCTGCTGCTGCCCGACCGACGTGTAAACCGAAATGGCATCGAAATTGCCGGCAAGTGTGACCTCACCGAGCGACTTGAGGTCGAGATTAGGCGAAGGTACTGATTGAGAGATGGCTTGTGTTGCAAACAGGAGGAGAGCGGATGCCGCCTTGGGGCCGAAGCACGACAGCAGATGCATCTTGGTGTGCAAGCTGTGTCTGCGCCGTGGCGACGAGACGGAGAAGGTGTTGTTACGACGGTGAGGTTCGGAGAGGCATGAGTGATGATGCAGGTACAGTGTACGGTAGATCGGAACTTGGACGACTCGAGCTTCTAAAACTGGATTTTCGGAGCTGGGGGTCGAGCGCGGTGGGATTTAGCTGATGCTAGACACGCGTGGATGAGATGGCGCAGGAGAGCAGGGGTCCCTTAAAACAGAGTTATGGCGTGTGTTTGTATCTCACAGGGCCACCCCGGAATTGTGATTATGATAACGAGACGACGGACAGGAAAGAGCGACAGTCGTAGGAATAGTGATTATGGCGGCGCAGATGCAGGGAGTGGGAAGGTGAAGTTGTAGATCCTTGCAACGAGAAGCTGCAAGTGACGAAAAGAGATTGTCCGCCGTGGCTTGAGGATGACGAGAAGGACTTGGACTTGGACTTGATTTCTGGCCCACGGCCCGCTGGGCAACCACCTGCAGCAGTGCGGCTGGAAGAGGAAGAGTGTCAAGAACCAGGCGAGCTGCCAATCTGCCACGATTGGCTGGCGTCACCCAGGAACAACTGCAGACCCCGCAGCGAAGCTTTGTTCCGTTGCTGCAGCGTCGGCATTGAAATGAGCGGTGCCCATGGTGCCCAGCCGTGTCACCCAGTCATGCTGCTGGAATGCCCCCGGCCACAATTCCAGGGCTCACCTGTCAGCCTGTGCCACCAATAAGCCTCCAGAAGGCCTCCCAGACCGCCATCGACTGGACAACAGAACGGCCACAGAATCTTCTACGCTGCAAATCATGGCGACACAGACTGTTCATCGAAACCATCCATCTCTGAGTGCGAGATAGCCTGTCGGCATGTCAAAATGACGACGTCGACTTATTCTTCTTCTGTGGTTTGAAGTGCAATCTCCCCAAAGGTCTTGGTACCCGGATCTCAGTGGAATCTCCCTCCGCTGGCAATGGCTGGTTAGCGTACGAGTACTCCGTACCAAGCAGGTGTTCAAGTCTATGCGAATTTGAGTTGTGTCAGTGTGCGCACTCGACACCTTTTTCGTAGGGATTACCTCGTACCTCCGGTTGACGTTCTGACCGTACCTTCGTGGGTGCAATTTGGACCGCATCGCAAGGTTAGCACCCTCGGTTACTGGAACACGGTCGTCATCTGGCAGGGGAGTCCCATGCATGAAATGCGTTTAGCGAGTCCCTACGACAAATGTCAAGCACCTTGAAACCCGTGATTTGAAACACTGACACATTTCTCCATAGCCAAACACCTTCCGACAGTGATGAGAAATGAATTACTCGAAAGTGTTTCGACAGATCTAAGATTCCGATGCCACCAGCGACGGAAGTGTTTCGATAAATCTATATTTCCGATCCCAGCAGCGACGGAAATGTTTCGACAGATCTATCTTCCGATCCGACGAGTAGCCGCGACGGTTTCATCGTTTACCACGACGTCGTCGTTTGACCTTCTCGCTAGCACTCGTGGTGATCTCCTCAATCTGTACCACAGTTTTCGCCTTTTCATCCTCCTCACGCTCTCGCTTCAGCGCACCCCGCCGTACCGTCGTTTTCTCAACTACTTCAGCCTCATCATCATCCTCCTCCTCCTTCTTCACAGGGTCTTCTTTCATGCCCGCCTCCACCTTTACCTCTGTCTTCGTCGTCAGCCTCTCCGCAAACGTTCTCAGATCCGCCGTGAAAAGCACACTGTGCGCCCAGCCGGCCTCCTTGCCCCAGATTTTGCGGAAGTGATTCGCAACCGTATCATACGTCGCTTTCGTCATGCTACTGTTCTTGCCTTTCGCCAGCTTGTAATCCCGCTGCGCGATCTGCAACACGTGTGTATCCACGGGCACTACTTCCCCCCAGCCCAGTCCCATGAGACAGACACAGTCCGCGACCTTTGGTCCCACGCCTTGCAGGTCAAGCAGTTTCGCATGCGCGACGCGGTAACCATCTCGGCCTTCTGGTTTCATCTCCCCAGCGGGCGAGGGCCTCGAAGTGCCATATGCCGGCGCCTCCGGATTGCGCAGACTATCCAGCCAGCCAGCGTCTCGTTCTTCTGCGACCATCTTGGCCGTCTGATAGATGTACTTTGCTCTGTAGCCGAAGCCCAACTCTCTCAGATGCGCCTCGACGTTCTTGCCCGTCAACGCCGACGGCGGCGGGAAGTCATGGTACGCCCGCCCCTGCAGCGTGCCGATGTACGCCCCATAGTGCGTGCACAGCTTGTCCACCATCTGCGATATCCTGACGATGTTATTATTGCTGCTGCATATAAATCCGATCAACGCCTCCCAGGCGTCTTGTCGCAGTATCCTGACGCCCGTAAACTTGGGCGCTTTCTTGCGGAAATTGGCGTCCGAGGCAGACCACTGCGCGTAGAGCGCCTCAAGGTTCGGGTCGAGGTTCAAGTAGTATTGGAGCAGGGCTTTCGTGTCGTCGTTCTCGACCTCTTCCCCACCGGCGGTGGTCGGCGGTATAGATGAAGGAGGCGTCAAAGGCGCTTCGAAGGTCGCAGCTGCAGCAGCAGGCCATATCGAGCGGTACTCGATATGTGATTTGTCTGGCTGGGACAGTTGTACGATGCGGCCGCGCAACGTGCACGCCCAGGTCTGGTCGTCGCATTGGCGCCAGCGGAAGGACTGCCCGCAGCGCAAGGTGGTTGCGAGACACAGCTCGGTCAGCGAGACTGGCAGCTTGCGCCACTCTGTTATTCGTGTCATCTGGAAAAATGTGGATGTGCGAGATCTGCACTGTGTAGAGTCAAGGAGATGGGGTGTTTGAGTTTGGGAGTGTCGATGTGGAGCCTCCCTGGCCGCGAAGATGCGCAGCCGCATAATTCTTTGATTGAAATTCGAAGCGAACGCGAGTCGCGTCGCGCGTTCTCCGTGTGCGTGTGGCGGGTGGGCTCGGCCAGAATCTACTGCACTCCATACACCACGAATACTACATTCCTCCCGACAGCGTAAGCATTCACAATGAGTATTCTGATTGAACCTGTCCCGTGATTACGCCTCATGAAGACTACCGGATACCAACAGCACTACTTACTGCGATTGTCGCCGTCCATACTAGAAGCAGACCTGGCTCACATCCTGCCTATCCGCGTGATCCTCCTCATCTCCTACCCTTTGATGTCTATGTCCTCGGTTATGGAAATGTTGGAGATGGAGCGACGTTTCACGCGGGGAAGCCACCGATGTATATCCCAATGCCCATTCCAAGTGTCTCATAGGTATCAGTCTCATATTGAAAGTAAGATCAAAAGGCCGGCAGATTGCAGCTGAATGAATGAACGATGTCGGCTCCAGATCTATCAGGAAAGGGGGCAATAGTCACGGGCGGCGGTTCCGGTTCGACTTCTAACCCGTCCACAACCCCCGAAGACCAGCTCCGAGGATACTGACTGATCGATCATAGGCATCTCGCTCGCCTTCACAAGACATCTATACCAAGCCGGGTGCAGCGTGCTGATCTGCGACCTGGGACTGCATCGAGAGGCCCAAAGCTGGCTCGAATCTCTTCCCAAAACAGCCGATGCAAAACCCCGGGTCGTCTTCACCAAAACAGACGTGACGGATTGGAAGCAGCTTGAACAAGCCTTCGACGTGTATGCGAAGGAGTTTGGAGGAGTGCCGCATGTCCTATGCCCCGGCGCCGGTATTTACGAGCCGGTGAGCCTCCCTCCGCTGACGCTTTCCAGTATCGAAAGCTCCCATAGCTGATCCTTGTACCCAGTCTGCCCCTAATTTCTGGAATGACAAGGACGACGACGGCTACAAGATCCTGCGCATCAACCTCGAACATCCCATCAAGATGTCTCGCATAGCGATCAGGCGATGGGTCCAGGCCGGTCAACCGGGAAACATCATCTTGATATCCAGCACCGGCGCGCAGAAGGCAAGTATTCTGACACCCTTGTACGGCGCGGCGAAGCAAGGGATCAGCAACTTTGCGCGGGCGATGGCACCCCTCGAGAAAATGGAGAATATTCGAGTGACTGCTGTGGCACCGGGACCGACCATGTCGCCGCTAATGTATGATCACCCTGAAGCGATTCGGTTTGTGGATCCAGAGAAAGACAAGCTTGCCAGCACCGATGAGATCGCAAGAGGCATGATGGCGTTGTGCTTCGACGGGGAGTTTCCTGCTGGTACGGTCCTGGAAGTCACGCATCCGGACCATTGGAGGGAAGTGTCGTTGTTAAATGATCCGGGACCGGGTGCACACGCTTTCACAAGCAGGAAGGACGACGCTATTGTCGATGTGATAGCTGCACTTGACGAAGATAGGGCGCGGAGGAAGTAAAATGGAGGCTACGTATCCAAAGCTGATGCCGGACTATTTTTCCTCCAACCCTCGTCTCCTGTACCGAGAATATATTGCATGGCCCTTCCATTCACACGCTCAAAGCTCTGATCTCTTCTCTCCTTGGGGCTGGCTGAATGTAGCAGCCGCGTCCCTGCCACTGACCACAGCCTCACCATGGATCACCACATTGTCATCAATGATGGAGTTGCTGAAGATCAAGTACTCGTATCGTCCCTTCCAGAACCAGTATACTCCAGCGAAGACCACGACGCCAGCCAGAATCACAATGGCCCAGTTCATGTTGGCGATCGCACCCGCCACCGGGACATATTGTGGGAAGATATAAAACAGGATCACGATGATACTCCAGAGAAGGCTTGAGATGTTGACTGCGTAACCCCATCTGCCAAGATCGAAATGCGGTCGCGGTGGTAGGTGATGGCGGCCCCTGAGAACGACACAGAGGATGGGAATGCAGTATGACACTTGGAGAGCCACGCCGCCGCCAGAGATGATGGCATAGAATGCAAGCTGGCTCCCGAGGACAAGGAGGCCTGTGAGCAGGTTGAGCACGATGAAGCCCATCAATGCTCGTAAAGGCATTTCGAAACGCTTGTTGACCTGAGCAAAATAATCCGACCACGGGAACGCTCTGTCGCGCGCCATGGACCAAGCGAGTCTCGATCCCGCCGTGTTCATGTTGACGATGATGAGATACTGCGTTCAGTCAGTCGAGCACGTCTGGCACGGAACGGTCACCTTTTCGTACGTTCAGTCCCATCATCATGATTGCCACCCATATGCCACCCCCATACGTAGAGTCCAAGACGTCCATGAACCATGCCTAGGGAAGAGTCAGTCGACCAAGGACTTCGTTGAAGTCTGTGCTTCTGTACGAACCACGTAAGATGAGGTGGCTTCCAGATAACTTTCCCAATTGGGGCCGACTGTGTAGCACATGACAATTGCTGAAAGCCAGGCAGTGACTCCTGCCCATACCATGGACCAGACCATGACTCGCTATCACATCGTAAGCACACTCGAAATCCAGCTTGGGCCCAATTACGTACCGGAGCATCGCGCGAGGCGTTCTTCATCTCCTCGGTTAAGTGCATCACGCCGTCCGTGCCGTAAAGACCATAGATCGGCACGTACATGCTCAGAATAAACACCCAGCCCTTGGGACCCCAGCCTGAGGTGTTGAGAAACTCAGTGAAGACAAACTTGGAACTGTTCTTGTCCGCGAGCACCAAGAAGACTATAGCCCAGATCAGTGCATTCGAAATGTTGAAGAAAGCACCAAATAGTTGCAGAGCTGGGAGGTATTTCGGAAGCAAATTCGACACAGCCGGCGCGACTAGGAATCCGGAGTAGATGAGCCAGGTCATGTATGGCTAGGACAAGGTCAGCATGCATCAGTCATGGCTATGTACGTTCAAAAGGCAAGGGAAGCCATACCTTCCACTCTACATTGGGATGAATAATTTCAACGAGTGCCGCCACGATTTCCGCACTGTTCAAGGCGCAAGAACTCGAGGTTGAGATCTCGCCCACCAGAACGCACCACCCAACAAGATACGACAGGAACCGGCGGGACTTTTCAGGGGCGACAATCTACAGCGATCAGCCTCTCATTTCTGAAGTGAGCGAGGAAATCTGTACCTGAGTATAGAACTGCTGTCCACCTGCCGTAGGCCAAATGGAGCAGTACTCGGCCAGTGAAGCCATAACCAAGAGCTGCCCGATCGTAACGACGACGCTGCATTGGGCTTTCGTCAGATATACGGACAGTGGGGGGTGTGCTGCGCCCATGAACTCACGTTCCCCAGACGAAGCAGACCGGGCCGCCCAGCGTAAAGACGTAATAATATAATACCACGTTGCACGACCAAGAGCATAATATCGTCGTCTGATATGCCATCACTGATCGAGCATTGTTAGTTCGATCGCCCGGTACCCCTTCGTGGAGCACTCACGACTCCAAAAGTTGTATCTTCGTTTGAGCTCCGGTTTGTGGCCGAGGCTGATGAGCCGACTCTCATCGCTGCTCAAGCCGACGTTATCGTCTTTCTCTGTGTCCATGTTCGGCTGCTCATGTGGTAAGGCTTAGCTCTGTGGTCAACAACCACTAGGTGCAGAAAGCCAGCGGGCGTGCGTGGTTCGACTCATGGAATAGGGTAGAAGATGTCTTTGATGAACCGCGACGGATTCGACCTTTGAATTCAACAATGGACGTCTCGAAGTCAAGATCGGATTCTTGGATGAAGTCGAGGGTGAGGCTAAGTACACGTGGAGGTGCTACTCTCCCTTCAACCACCAGGATGGGTTTAGCTGCCTGCGCCTATCGAGGCTTGCTATCTTGCTGGCGATGCCTTCGTGGTGCCCATGGGAAATGAACAGTAGATAAGGAGAGGAGCCAAGTGCTTGGTATACGTGAAAGCATGATAACATCATAACATCGTGGTGGAGGGTCTTGAGAGCAACGGACCGCAGACGAATGGCTTAGACGTTCAACAAATGACGAGCTTGCACGGATTGTCGACGGCGGCCCCGGCGAACGGAGACATCCGGGTTTCTCTTGCCTTTTAGCCAGTCAAACGCTAGCTCATTCCCTCGGCGCCTCTCCTGCGAGTCCCAGTTCCCAATTGCATGCGGAGGGTGCAAGAGGGAGTTCCGTCGCCCACAAAGAAGCGAAAGTAAGAAACTACCGCAAGACCGACCGTTAGCCGCGTACCCCAGATTTTGGGTGGAGAGCAGCATCTCCCTGGCATACCGGTACACAGTCCTTGATAGTGCAAGTAGTAAGTATTTTGTGCAGGCACCGTACATCAGTTTAAGCCTCACAATCAGTCCTTAACGTTCCTTGGGAAATGCTTCGGTGTGCTGCCTCACTGCCTAAGCACCCTAATTGGCAGGGTGGACGGGCCTCGGGGGCCTCTTAGGCTTAGAGAAGCCTAGAATGATGATGGGGGAAGCCGCCCATCACGTGCTGACGCCCCAATCAGACAAGCGCAGCCACGATAAGCTCAGCTCCACGGCTCTTTCCAGACCAACCGCGCAAGGAACACTTCGTTCAGCTCTGACGTTCCGATGACTGAAACAATGAAATTCGCCTGTCTGCTCATTCCGCAGCAAGATGACATGAATGTTGGCATCCTTTCCAGCACTGCGCAGTAGCAGCTGTCCTGCCCTGTCCTGCCCTGTCCTGCCTTGCCCTGCCATGGACGCGGTCAAGACCGAGGAGTCAACGGCGGCAGCTCAAAGCTCAGGCTCAAGTCCGCCAGCGACAGGTCCACAAGGTGCACATTCGCAATCTCCTCTGCACCTGAGGAACATGTTGGAACCGTGCTGGAGAAGCTAACCATGACCCGTCAGATTGCCCAACCTGTGTTAGAAGGCGCATCCGCTGCGATAGATCACTTCCTACGTGCATCAAATGTGCGAAGAAAAGCCTAGTTTGTCCGGGCTATGGCCCTCGACTGAGATGGGCCAATGGTATAGCCGTTCGTGGGCACCTCAAAGGTCGCACCACGCCACACATAGAGAAACCACCGAAAGTCAGCAAAGCACCCTCAAAACTCTCGACCTCGCCGAAATCCGTGAAGTCCTCCGGCACCGATGATACTCCAAGAACAGGACCCGGCATAGACCCGCTGGAGGAGCTCTTTCCTGGTTTTCCAGACCCCTCCACTAGATCTCGCTTGCTCAGTTATTATGACCAACAAATTGCGGGTCTGATGGTGTGGATTGATTCCGAGAAGAACGAATATCGTCGCCTGGTCGTACCACTGGCAGAGCAACAACCGGTATTGCTTTTAGCCATTCTCGCCATCTCTGCTCAGCACCTAGCCGTCACGACAGGCCAGGAGACGAGTTTTCCCGCACGAGCCCGAGACGCGGCCGTCACGATGATATCGAAGCAGATCCAGCAGGTTACCGGCAAGCTAGCAGCCGGCTTCGATCTCGGCAGTCAAATTGACCCAGACACCGCGGTCTGGATGCTCGCGTCAATGTTGACTTTGGCCAACTATGAAATGTCCGAGACGGAGACTGGAGCGGCGGCCGCCGACTCTCACAGACAAGCTGCTAGGACATTGGTGAATGCTCTTGCCACCACTAATCGCGAAACCAACGCCTTGTTCAATTTCCTCCGAAACCAGCTCGCCATCTATGATATCCTGGCCTGCACCACAATATTCGGAGCCATGAGTACGGTCGAGGTTATTCTCCCTGCACCGGATCATTCCAACCTCATCTTTTCGGAGTTCTTGTCGCTTCTGCACAAGGTCACCATTTGGTCACGACAGCGGCATGAAAAACAGTTCTCGGGGCAATTCAGCCTCATAGACGTACCGATCACCTCAGTCGATGTACGTGCGGGATTTGAGCAAGCGCGAGGATCGACCTTAATGGCTGCTGGCATCCTTGCTCTGCCTAGGGACGCAAGACGACGCGATTTCGTTCGAATCGTTGACATCTACCACCACGCTGCACTGCTCTACACCTATAGGGTCCTCTTATGTAGCCACGTTGAGCAAACCGAGATCAACGCCGCGGCAATGCTCCTGTTCGAGAGGCTGGATCAACTTGAAGACAAACCGAGTTGCATGCAAAATCTGCCGTGGCCTGTGTTCATCGCAGGCACCGAATGCCGTGAGGACCCGGCGCGACAAGCTTTTGTAGCGAAATTGTACGAGGACATTGCTCAAGATATGGGCTTCAAATACTACATCGGAATTCTACACTTTTTGCAAGACCTCTGGTCGAACAGGCTTACCGACTGGACGGATTTAGCTCGCCGCTACGAAGCCAACGGCAAGAAGATCGTTGCTGTCTGAGGAAGCTTCTTGACCGGCTATTCCGTAATCGACTTATCGCGTTATGTCGTTATGCCTGCATTTCCTCATGCTTTGCCCAATCCATTTCCGCCAGATGGCTCGCAGCTATAGTCGACATTGAAGCGTTGGCTGGGCCTTACAGATCCCGCTCCAAGAACATCAAAGCACGGCATGGTACTATACTACCATCGATCCTTGCCAACCTCTTTCCTGTCGAATCAGGAATGTGTTTCCACGCCAATGTCGAGTTACTTGCGCATTCCTTCTGGTGATATATGCAGGCACCTCAGTCTTTTTATGGTTAGTGCTCTGTTTGCGCGCATGCTCATGAACGCTGACCAAGTGGGCAGCAAAACGGAGAACTATACATTAGGGTCATGGCACAGCCTCCCAACCTAGAAGCAAGTTGTGGGTCAGTCGCGTCGGCCGCAATGGACCACGGCCTCCCTTTCACGACAAGCAGACCGAGGCTTGCTTCACTTCTTCCAGCAACCTTGACAGCTCGTCACCTATACCTACGAATTGCGTTTGCGTGAACACGCTTGATAACAATACGCGTCCAGCACCTGCCAAACTGCACCCGAATTTGTTCATGCCACAAATTGAAGGATGCCGACAGGACTAATTAGGCATTGAACCGAGATGGCACTTGGGAAAATACTAACGATATCGACCTTGATCGGTACCACTTCATTAGGCTCTTAAGCCAAGATGAAACCCGCTTGACGGAACCTCACGCTCCCTCCCAGGCTGGGTGCTGAACATGGGCGTGCAACCCCCCCCCCCCCCCCCCCCCCCCCCCTTCCCCCGGGGCCCCGCTTTGAACCCTGCACAGCTTCTGATTCCTGGACACAGTGGATGCAAGCAGGGTTTCCGAGCTGCAGGACTGCTGGAAGAACATGTGGCCTTAGGGGGTCCACAAAGACATGAACATTCAACATCTGTGTGCAGAGTACGCTCTCGAACTAGATAGCTGACCAAGAAGTTGGCTGGCCGGAAAGCATGCGGAGGAATGCAGCATGGACTCGACCGGTGCGACCTTTAGTGTCTCGAGTGTGCTTTCGGGCTTGGCCTCCGGTGAGACTGCCAAACGGCCGTCTACGCGTTGCTGTCTTCTGCATCCGGTATTCAGAGCTGCCAATAACTCGGAGAGGCATGTCAATCGGCTCCTGGGACTATTAGACAGCCTTTCGTTCCGGCAGGTTACCCCCTTTGCACGGTGATGTCCAACCTCCATATCTCAATATATATGTATTTTCCTGATGTTGAGGGTTCAGCCCAATCATAGTGGAGAAGGTCGTATCACGCCTAAACTTCATCAGGACATTGTGTAGAGAAAATAACGTCAAGCACCTTCTCTCGCTCAGGATGGTGGCCTCAACACGAAGCAAACTGCTGTGTCAGCAGGCATAATTGGCTGCAACGCCTACCACCTGCTGCATTAGGCATCTGATGAGAGAGCTTTGAGGCTCGGAGAGTCAAAAATCCTGAATCAGGCCGGTTGTCAGAGCTGGTCCGTCCCGCTACAATTCAATACGCCATCGTTCTGGAATCTCCAATTCGCTTCGTTCGTCCGTTATCAAGTTCTCCACGCCAGAAACGACGGAGGCGTGTCCAAACACCGTGCCATCCTGCGCGATGTGGGACACAGAGAAGCAATGGATACATTGTTTACTAACTCGGGATGTCACTCCAGGAACACAGCAAGCTAAAGCATGGACGATCCCGCAAACTCCTGTCACCAGTATCAGATTCACTTCCATTCCTTACCCCACCCTCTTAGACAAGCTCGACATCACACACTCGCCCTGATCTTCCCAGGACTGGGATATTAAGGTCTCGGTCGCTGCTCTCTCTTGCCAAGAACCCGGACTGTCTCCTCACGATGGTTCTCAACCGGGTGTTCAACCAGCCTCCTGTGATGCATCCCAAGGCGCGGCAGGATATTACCCGCCAAAATGTAGGAGAGCTTTTCCAGACCGCGGCCTTTCGAGACCTTGTCGCCAACAGACTCGCGAACTCTGTCAAGATCCCGACGATAACCTATGATGGCATGGGGCATGTCGGAGAAGACTCTCGCTGGGACGTGTTTTACGAGTTCTCGGATTACCTGAGGAAGAGCTTCCCAAGAGTGTAGGCATTTACAGCCTCCCTTGGCGTATCATTGCTGACAGCATGTGCAAAGTTATGAGTCTCTGACGGTTGAGACAATCAACGAACACGGCTTGCTGTACACATGGCAGGGGGCACAGGAGGACATGAAGCCACTCCTGTTCATGGCACATTCCGATGTGGGCTGAACCGCCCCGAGGTCCAGTGGTCACAGTCTAACCTGTTTCCAGGTTGTCCCTGCTGGTGAATCGACAACTGAAGCTTGGACGTATCCTCCCTTTTCAGGATATTACGATGGAGAGTACATCTGGGGTCGGGGCTCCGAGGACGACAAGTCGAACTTGATTGCGATGCTGTCTGCCATCGATTGCTTGCTCGCATGCGGCTTCGCGCCGAACCGGACCGTCATCGTCTCCAACGGTTTCGACGAAGAGGGCGGAGCGGAACAGAGCTATGGCGCCAGATGTCTTGCAGAGACTCTACTGGATAGGTACGGGACAAATGGCATCGAGATGATTGTAAGTCTGCTGACAGTGTTGGTACCTGTGCTGACGGACACACAGTTCGACGAGGGCATCGCGGGCGTTGAGAAGCGTTTTGGCACCGACTTCGCACTGCCTGCGACTGCCGAAAAGGGGTACATTGACGTGACCGTGACTGTCAACGTTCCAGGAGGCCACTCCTCTACACCACCCGACCATACAGCCAGTCCGTGCCCCCAACAGTCTTGTACGGGGAAGGAAAAACTGACCTTGGAACAGTCGGCTATCTGGCTCAGATTGTTCGACTCATTGAAGATCATCCCTTCACCTCGCAGCTCGTTCGGAATAATCCGACGCTCACGTACCTTCGACAGGCTGCACTCTATTCGAAGGCGATGCCTGAAGACCTGCGACAAGCGATTCTAAGTTCCCAAAGCCCCAAGAAGCTCCTGGACTATATGGACAGCGATCGTGAAAGACGAGCCATGATTAGAACCTCGACTGCAGTTGACGTTATCCAAGGTGGAGACAAGGGTAAGGCGACAGCCATAACAAATCGTTCTCGCCGCAATGACTAAAAATCGTCAGTCAACTCGCTCCCCGAGAACGCCAGTATCCTAGTCAATCACCGCATCGCCATCCAAGACTCAGTCACCGCCGTCAAGGACCATTATATCCAACTCCTCGGCCCTTGGGCCAAAGAACGCAGCTTCAAACTATACGCTTTCGGCGCCCAGAGCCCACCCGAGAATGCTACTTTGACTGCGCTCAGCAATACTTCTGACTCTGGCGATCTCACACTGACTGCTCATTACGAACTAGAGCCTTCTCCAGTGTCGAGCGCCGAAGATCCAAGATTCGCGTTGCTGGCTGGGACGATCAAAGGCGTCTTTGGGGACGATGTCGTGGTTGCTCCAGAGATGCTAACAGGTAAGTGAAGTCGTACTGACCAAGTGCAGATTCTGACGTCGCCAGGCAACACCGACACGCGATATTATTGGGATCTCTCGCCCCAAATATATCGCATGTCACCCTGGCGGGCCTGCCACGATCCTCGTGGAACTCGCATGCATACGGTCGACGAGCGGATGCCGATTAAAGGTCTCATGGAAATGGTCCACTTCTACCACGAATTCATCCGCGTCGTCGACGAGGTGCGGATAGAAGATACTTGATCCGGAGATGCCTGAAGCCGCAGAGACTGTGGTCCATATTTGCCTTAGCAGAATGCTTGGATCTACTCAGCCCAAAGCTGTCAGCCACACTATTCCAGTCGACATTGTGCGACGCCGTCCAGACGAGATCGGTAGTCCAGACGCAATTGCCTGGAAGCTACACTGGTCGTCAAATGCGCACGAACCGAACCCAGTCAACCCGTGGTTCTATAGACGGCAAATGGACGAGGGCCCAGAACCGCATCACATAGAGCTGATGGTCAACAAACGCCAATAGCGCTCCAGGGGCAGCTGACTGCAAGAACACCTGATCCTCGTTGATCGACATGAAGAGCTTGGACGTGTAGTGGTCATGCAGCAACACCCGCTCTGCCGGGGCTGAAGGGGTGTTCAGAGAGCTTACAGTAACAGTCGGCTGCTAATCAATCAACAAGCACAGTACCAACCGGTTTGGACACAAATCTCTCTCCTGGGTGGTCGGACACTTATTGTTTCCAACCATGGACTGGACGCAGACCATATCATGAGCCGATCATGCCGTTCTTGCTCCTTTCATGCGCCTGGGTTCACAAGTGAGTATCGGCAGGCAGCTTGGTCTGCTTCGGACCTACGGCCATCGAGGGCGCGTCATGGCATTGAGATATCATCGAAGTTCAGGCCAACAATTTCAGAGGGACAAGCTTGCTGATTGAAAGTGCCAAGGCATGATTGGTATTTGTATTCACGGTTACGTACAGACGTCAGACACTTCATCGCCGTTGCTCTCGGGTCTCCAAATCAGATTCCCAGGGTAGGGTACGTGTATTTCACGTCTCATCGTTTTGGGTCCAAGCCGTCACATTAGGTTCTTGCTTGAACTGTGGTCTCTCGCGGCCTGACCTGCTTTGTGGAAGGGCGAGAAGAGTAGAGTGGACGAGACACCTACGAGACGCAGGAGTGCCTGAACGACGTCTTGACTGCCAGAGACTGCCTCGTAGTTGTCTCTGGAGCTCAATACATCAAATGTCCTTCCACTTGGAATATAGATCTTTGACCGAGCGGGGTCCCGAGACTTGTGTACCTCGAGGGTGAAAGTAGCCCGAGTGACGAGTGGCCGAAGATAGTACCCAGGTGATCGCAACAAGGCGGATGGAATATCCTTCTAGAATCCGGGGCAGAACCGCCGCGTTCCTCGCACGCTGGGTACGGAGTACGAATACGCTGTCTCGCTCTCTACTGGACGGCAGATGGTGATAACTAGAGGGCCCCAGCCGTGGAGGACCGGACGTGGACATCGCACTTCTACCCATATCGAGGTAAGACAGACATGCAGCTTTGTCACCAAGCAATCACTCAATGAGTGAGCTGGTGGCTGGCTTGACCCCGTTAGACCACGCAACTCATGTACGTTGCTCAGGTCAGAAGGGTGGCAGTTTCAGGGACTCGATCTTGCAGTCGGTCCACGGCACGACCACGAGTGACAGGCACTAATTATTGTAGCATCTGCAGAGTGTGCCCTTTATGGAGCCCCCTCCCGGCATTGCGCCCAATTACAGGGGGTCCTGTAGGGTCGCATTCCTCACTCAGGCCGTCCCCGGGCACGCAAATGCAACCATCTCCCACGGCAAAGCGGTCGTCATGGAACGCGATCATGGTCGAATCAGCCACCCCGGATTCCCCCAGACCCTCGCATATAAGTTGTGCAGCGCTTGCTGCCTGCGTGCCAAAAGTTAACCACCAAAGCTTGTCGTTGCTTAAATACTGTAAGGGCCGCTGTTCACTCGCCCATTGCCCTAAGAACAGCGATTCAAAAAATCCAGCTTTTTACAGTGCCAGCAATCTCTGGTGGCTTCTATCCGACATGGTGAAGAACGCTGTTGTCATACCCGTGGCGGTGCTTGCATCCATATGCGTCGTCATGTTCGTCTTCATCTGGTGGTGGTTCCCCAGGCACTACAGAAAGGGTGTCGCGGACGACATGAATATCATGGACGGGGAGCGGGCGGGCAGGGAGGCCACGTACGCGGGTATGGAGGGCGGGACCACGGAAGCAGAGAACAGGCCAAAGACACTGGAAGAACACATCGCCATCGCCAGAGCCAACATACGACGCGGCCATAATCCAGCAGCGACGCCGTATTGAAGAGTGTCTCAAGGGTACGAGCTCGTCTCGCGGTCCAAAAGTCGCTCTCCTCGATGGAACTCCAATAACTACCCGCTACCCACCACGTACACCAAGATCAGCACTGTGCCGGGCCTGCAACAACATGATAGCCAATTCGGCAAAAGGGCACATAGGTTTGGGGCCCCCGACTGGGCACAGCAGGATTGTTCGCCAGTCGCAAGCAGACTGACGAGCAAGAGGGAGGGCGTTGAAGCGAGATATTATAAGGAGGCGTTGAAAGACACCCATCCGTGGCAGCGCAATTTCTGTGCCAATGGTCTTTGTAGTCTTCAAGTTTGAAGCGCGTTCGTTCTGTAAAACAATGGAATCGAAGTAGGCTGCCATATCTTCCGCAATTTTGTCAGGTGAAAGTGACTTTGAACTCGTTCACTTCGACGTTCCTGTCAAGCATTTGGCCGCCAAGGAAATTGAGGCGGAAAAAGTTCAGGTTCTCCGAGCGGCGACTGCGACTGCGACTACGACCAGGGCTTTAACTACGTGAACTGGAATCCACGCCAGGAACAGACACATCGGTTTTACTTCTACACGCCATCCAGCTGCTTGATCCATTCATTCTCGAGTCAGAAAAGGCGCTCTCTTGACGTGTGGGAGGTACGCTCTAGCAGAGCTTGCACTTTGCCCTGACTTGCCGCAACCATGAACGGGGACAACTACTCCTCGAGAGGTAACAAGCCTGACCCAGACACTCTGCCTTCCCACTGACAGTTCTGCAGACTCGGGGCGCTCTCGAGAACATCACGTATGAGTATAATCAGGCTCCAACCCACGCGTGCCGTCGCACTGACTACTCGTTCCACAGAGTTCAAGATACGACCGAGACGACCGCAGAGATCGCGACCGCGATAGGAACCGAGACCGAGGCGAGCGCAGACGGTCGAGGTCACCTCACCACAGATCATCGAGACGCGACCATGAAGACTCGTATGCCTCGAGTCGAGATTACCGGGCGCGCGAACGAGAAGACAGATACGGCTCGCGGCGAGATGATCGCGAGTGGGACAGAGACAGAGGCCCGAGGCGTCGCGACGATGACCGTCCACCTCGCCGAGACCGTGACCTCTTCGATGACCGACGAGGTGGAGGTGGAGGGCCAGGTGGAGGCGGTGGTCGTGACCGTGACCGTGACCGCAGCGGACGGGAAGATCGCGACGAGTTCGCGGCGCAAGCACGCGGCCAGAAGAACAGTCCTCCTCCCAAGAAACGAGAACCCACGCCCGATCTGACCGATATCGTACCCATCCTGGAGCGGAAAAGGAGGTTGACACAATGGGATATCAAGCCTCCAGGCTACGAGAACGTCACCGCTGAACAGGCCAAGATGTCGGGCATGTTCCCCTTACCGGGCGCTCCTCGCCAACAACAGATGGATCCCAGCCGGTTACAGGCATTCATGAACCAGCCCGCAGGCGGCGCCACTTCGACCGCCTTGAAGCCCTCCAACTCGCGCCAGGCGAAGCGCTTGTTCGTCTCCAACCTACCCACGACCGTCACCGAGGAGAGTCTGATGGCCTTCTTCAACCTGCAGCTCAATGGGCTGAACGTTGTGAAGACGATCGATCCGTGCGTACAAGTGAACATTGCGGAGGATCACAGTTTTGCCCTGGTCGAGTTCAGGAATCCTGCCGACGCGACCACCGCGTTGGCCATGAACGGCATCACCATGGAAGAGCATCATACCGAAATGAATGGAAATGGAGATGCGAACCCAAAGGGATTGGAGATTAAGCGACCAAAGGACTACATTGTGCCCACGGCCGACGATGATGCATATACAGATGGCGAATTGTCCACCGAAGTGCCTGACACTGCGAACAAGCTGGCTGTCACGAATCTACCGCCTTTCCTGACCGACGATCAGGTCCTGGAATTGTTGAAGGCGTTTGGCGAACTCAGAGCATTCGTGCTGGTGCGCGATAGCGACGCTCCGGAGTCGAGAGTAAGTTCATCCCGTCCTAGGCCGCACAGAGACAGAGCTAATAGTTATCCAGGGAATTGCTTTCTGCGAGTATAACGACCCCTCCGTGACTGCCGTTGCGATCGAGGGCCTCAACGGCATGGATCTAGCCGGCAACGCCATCAAAGTCACCCACGCAAGTATCGGTTTTACACAAGCCGCGGGGCTGGAGATGGGCGTCAATGCCATGTCCATGTTCGCCGGCACCACATCTGACAACATGGAAGATGGTCGTGTTTTGCAACTGCTCAACATGGTGACACCGGAAGAGTTGATCGACAATGATGACTATGAGGGTACGTTTAGCCTCTCGCTTGTATTTGTCCCTTACTGATTTTGGGTTGCCTATAGAAATCTGCGAGGACGTGCAAGAAGAATGCCAGAAATACGGCACCGTTGTCGCCATGAAGATCCCCCGCCCGTCCATGGGCAGTCGGCAGTCGGCAGGCGTGGGTAAGATCTTCATCAAGTACGAAACGCCCGAAGCGGCGAAGAAAGCATTGCAGGCGTTGGCGGGTCGCAAGTTCGCGGACCGCACTGTTGTTACTACGTATTTTGACGAGGTACGTGCCATGCTCATGAGTTGCGAGATTGTCATGCTGACTGCTCTGTTTGTTCAGGCGAGCTTCGACGTGAATGCCTGGTGAGGTGAGCATCTCAGATACCTGCGAGATATCAAATGCGGGCATGATGCCACCATGCTTGTTAGCTCCTCTGCTGCGCGTGCCCTCCACGGCTGCGGTAGCCCTCGAGGACCGGTATGTGACGGTTGCAGTGAGCATGCGAAGGTCGGCCCCTCCATTCGAGATCATCAACAGTGACTTGGTCATGCCACTTATAAACGCACGCATGAGGACTGGAGTGTTCGAGCAAAGCAACGTACCAGGAGCGCCCTCATGAGATCTTGGCTCGGCAGACACCAGATTCCGCCATCGCACTATGTACCTACCTATCAGATGAGATTCGCCTTAAAACCCCTGGCACATAGCACATCTCTCCACACGTCGGGCTAGCAAGGAGGAGGCAGCGAGGAAGATGTCAGGGAGAGGGAGAGAGACACACCGAAATTTTGTACCGGCCTCATCGCGCCCTGTGCTCGAGCGCTTGCGCTTCGCTCAACGTGTATTTCTATCTAGGTACAGTAGACAGGGGAAACAAAAGATTCTTTGGATTCTGCACACATCACACACGCATATACACGTACACATGACACATATGCGCAGACATGTATGCACTCTGCTTTGAGCCTGAAGATCTTGAAATCGAGGGGACTCTTGCCTCTTGCCTCTTTTCTCTTTTCTCTTTCGTCTCTTTCGTCTCTTCCGTCTATTCCCCTTGCTCCCTTGGGCTGTAGAGGTGGTGTTACTCTCAACGGATGCATCGCGATCCAATCCACTCAGACCCCCATGTGAGGACGAATGAAATGAGTACAATACGTACTGTAGGCAGGCAGGCACGGTTCAAGAAGTTGTTCACCCGTACGTACGGCGTACTGTACAGTATTTTTCGGGTCTTCTTTGCCTAATATTGCCCTTCTCTAATTACCGTATTTCATTTCCTCTCGGGCTCCCCCCATCTATGTACCCACTCACAATGACCTACAGTAGATAAGGCGGAAAAGGTTTGGATCATGAACATTGTCGTAGAAGCTCTGTCTGTCTGTCCATCTAGGCTTTCTGTGTGGACTTGGATGCATAGACAGTGGTTCCCTCGTTGCTGCCTACAGTACCACAGTACTTGCTCGTTTACCCCTCTACAAGCCCCGGCCCGTTAATGAAGAGCACGCAACTCCGAGCCCTCGAGCCAGAAGATCTAACTACGTATCAGTCATTCATGCAGTCCTGGCATGTGTTCTGGGCTCTGCTCCGCTCCCGTGCCACACCTTCTTCCCGCGCCATATCCTTGCCTGGGACGATCATGCCCTCCTTGCCTATGTGTGCTGCACATTTCCTTTCCGCTGATGCTGTGCCTGGGTCTTCTATTTTCACGCCTCTGTCCCAGGTGATTTGACGCCGCTTTTCCTGACACGGAACTACCATCCCGCACGGCACCAGTGGCACAATGGCGGCGGCGGCAGAGCTACCTGATTTCATCGGGTCCATTTTACTCGTCGTCTAGAATCAACTTCGTGATCTTGCCCACCGCAATCGTTTGCCCTTGGTCTCGTAGCGTGAAGCGTCCTAGTTGAGGATAGTCCTCAAACCTCTCGACACAGATCTTGCCTCCGCCGCTGGTGACCTGCAATCTGGCGATGATATTCTGCCCCTTCGCGGCGAACGGGGGCGGCTTCTTACTCTTCCGCCCCGTTCTGGGTTCGAGCTTGTGCAAGAGGGCAGCGAAGGTGACTTCTTCGGTCGCGGCGTGGACGTGGAGCACGCAGTTGAAGCCCGCGGAGAGAATGGACTTGAGTTCCACAATGTTGATCTGTGCTTCGAATTCTTTGACGCAGTGGACGAGGCGTTTTGGCGAGCAGAGCACGAATCCCGGCATGATGTCTTCTTCTTCGATGCCTCGGAGGCGCATGCGGACCTGGTCTCCACACGTGGCATATGGCACTTCATCTTCGGTTTCGCCATATAGGGCTGCGATGCCGACCTCTTCGCGGTTGGGCATCATGATCAGCGTCGAGGTCTTCTGGACAACGCCGGCTTCGATGCGGCCTTCGATCATGGTACCCATGTCGCGGTACTTGGCACCGATGGGCATCATGAACGGCGCGTTGAGGTTGCGCTGGATCTTGGCCATGCCGTCGAGGAATTCGAGGAGGGAGGGTCCTTTATACCAGTCCACCACGCTGGGGGGGATGCGGTCCTTGACATTGACGCCTGTTTGTGCAGAGATGGGCATGAAGGTTGAGTCCAGGCCGATTCGTTTCTTGAGGTACGGCTTCAATTTGCCGACAATTTCGTCGTAGCGTTCCTTGCTCCATTCGACGGTAGGGTCATCCATTTTGTTGACCACCACGACTAGCTCCTTCGCTCCAGTGGTTTTAATCAACATGGCGTGTTCTTGAGTTTGGCCACCTTTTTCAAATCCCGTCTCGAACTCGCCTCTTCGCGCGGAGATGACAAGAATGGCCACGTCGGCTTGAGCGGCGCCGCTGAGCATGTTGGGCACGTAGGTCTTATGGCCCGGAGCATCCAGGATGGTGTATCTTCGCTTCTCGGTCTCGAAGAAGCCACGACCGACTTCGACGGTTTTACCCTTTGCTCGTTCTTCCTTGTTGAGATCCAGTACCCAAGAAATGTACCATGTCTCACGGCCTGCGTCTTTGGCGTCGCGTTTGTACTTTTCCAGTGTCCGCTCGTCGACCATGCCCGTCTGAATCAAGACTTGACCACCGAGTGTAGATTTACCGGCATCGACGTGGCCGATGAAGATGATGTTGACGTGCTCTTTGCCGTACATCTCCTCCAGGACGGATTGGTCAACATCGGCGGTTTGTGCTGCGGCAAGTTCGTCGGCATTTCGCTGTTTCTTCGCTTCCGCTGGCGTAGGGGAAGACTTTCCCGATGATGGAGCTGGGGATGTCTTGCCCGTTACTTTTTCTCCCGACTTCTCCACTGCTTTGGCGGCCGAGACCTTTGAGCCAGCATCCACTTTTGAAGAAGCCGGTTCGTCCTTTGTGGTTGGAGAGGCAGGTTTCTTAGGAGAAGCGGAGGCTGCGGTAGGGACACCAATCGACAGGACCTTAGCCTTCGGAGGTGCGGCAGCAGTTTGTGGTTTGGGAGCGGGCGGGGTGGGGGTTGCTTCAGTTTGAGAGGCCAGGGCGGGAGTCTGTTGCGGTGTCGGCGCAGACGCTGGTTGTGTGTCTGATCTCTTCGCAATGCTTATTGGACCACCCTGTCTAGGCTGGAATCCTCCAGGCGTTTGATTGTAGGCGGCGAATTGGCCACTGTTATACCCTTGATTGTAGTTCTGCTGTTGCTGTTGCTGCTGCTGAATATGGCCGTATTGGCCGTATTGTTGTTGGCCATACTGCGGGTATTGGTTATATCCCTGCTGTTGGCCGTAGCCGTAATTTTGATAGCCATTCTGTTGGTATTGCTGTCCCGGTTGAAACGAGGTAGCACCAGGCTGGAATGAGTTGGCCCCGGGCCTGAATGTGTTAGCGTTTATGTTGATGTTTTGTGCCCGCCTTGACAGATCCTCCTCTTGGTTTGCCGCATCTTCCCATGAATCGAAGTTGCCTGCCATATTGGAAAGCGCTTTGTCGAGGCTCTGAGAGAGTTGGACTGGTGCGATGACGCTGGTTAAGAAGAAAGAGAGAGAATGAGGAGCTGAGAGCAGGACCGTAGAGGTGGGTTGGGCGTCGCTTGGAGGGGCAATGCCACTGACACTTTTGGAGGCAGAAATCGATCCTTGGCAAGCTGGATTCTACAAGGCTGCGTTTTACCTGCTGCTTTTAACTGCTAATTAATCATCCCTCTTGCGACTTGTTTCTCACCCAAAACATTCACCCCACACCCGTGCTCGAGCTTTACGTCGAGACTACTCGATTGTCTCTCCATGCCGCGGTCGGGGCCCGTCCAAGAATGTCAAGACTCTGTGGTTGCTACTTGAGGCTTGGTGCTTTCTCCCTGGTGCAATATGCATATATGGGCCAATGTAGCCTGCTGCGGCTTCATACCAGTCCCACGGGTTTGCAGGTTATCCACTGACAAAACATATAGGGCAAGACTAGCATTGGTCAACGCGGGTTCAATTGCACAATTAGCTTAGTCTGGTGCTCTGTTACTATGCTATGGCTGTGACGACATTCATGAAGGGCCCCTCTGACATGAATCGCCCAATTCGCAACTCATGAGGTACGCGCCATCTGCCTCGGACAGCATTAACAAACGCAAGTCACACCGCCATATCTACTACTTACTCGTTCTGGTCAAGACGGAGTCACAACTTACCGTAACAGGCCGCATCCCGTGCTGGGCGTCAGAGAAGAAGATGTGACTCACTCATAAGGAGTCATAAGGCACCTCGTGGAGAAACCTTCACTAATGGTTTGGTACTCCGTGTGCCGCCAACGAGCATATTCCCAGTGTCAACCCGCCAGCGCATCCATTCAGCCCGAATGGATCTTCAGAATTGAAACTGCGGACTTATCTTGTCCGCGGCAACGAAATTTGCGGATAAATCAGCCCTTTGCGACCGTGCTCCTCCACACAGGGGGACCTGGCCGAGATCCACTCCCAAAGAGACCACCCACACGGTGCCGCAGAAGCTCATTTTGATGCTCGACAGCATGACGTCGGCAATCCCCTTCTAACAGCCTGTGCCTCCGACAGAACACGAACCCACATTGTCACGCTGACCGTAGGAGGAGCCTGCAGGGCCTCCCCGGTCGCCGGCTGAACAACACCGTTTATGTTTCGAGGTCCGATGTCATCTACACGACGCGCCAATGAATCAGGACGTGATCGAGGAGTCTGAGGTGCCATATGCGATCTTGTCACTAAATCAAGTCAGAACCATGGGCACTAGAAGTTGCCAGAATTGGCAATCGAGCCGCACGCCTTGCTATGGAATCCACGGGCGACGAGATCCATTCGGCGTTGGAGATGGCACCCTAGATTACCAAGGTCGGGTTTGTATAGACCTGTACAACTACATGACTAGTAGCATGAATTGGGCCAGTCGTTGGAAGCGGACAACTATTAAATAAGTTTGGTCGGGAACCCGTAATCGACCAGAGGTCGAGCCGGCCGTTCACATCGCCTCCAGCGTGCTCGGTGACCGCAAGCTGGAATCCACGCCTACTGCGTAGCCAGGCAACAGCCTTGTAAGAACAGGTCGCGAGGCTGTAGCTGGTCCGACGTGGCTGATTGCGTGTCGACGGCTCTTCTGTCCGAAAATCAATCGCAACACCTCGTCTCATAGACTCGTCCTCATAAGGCGCTGGCTTGGGAGCCACGCTGTCCATCGCGTAAAGGCTGGCGACCAATCTCTAGCAGATCTGATCCGTTGATTGTCTAGATGATTTCAATTGGCTGCGCTTCGACTTAGAATGTTCTCCACGACATCCAAGGTTGGAGTGAAGACGTCTCTTCTGGTGGCAAGGCTGAAAAGCAATGACGCGCCAGCGCAAGGCTGCAGCTCCCGCCTGTTTGGTCACCACCAATGAGCTCGCGTCACTGCCCATTTCTTTTCACGGTCTCTGACCTATTGCTCTTTCTCTTCGAGTCTGTTCTTTGCGGTAAGTGCTCGCAGAAGTGATAAGACGTAAGATCTCTTCAACTCAAATGATTGGCCAAAATGGACATCTTTCTGGGAAAGGTCACCCAGCAGGCCATGAACTATGCCATCCGCTCGGGAGTCACGATAACAGCATCCTACGCCCTGCGACAGTCAAGCAAGCTACTGAGCAGCACGCCTAAAAGCAACATCCGAGACGAACTCTACAGGCTCCAACAGAAACTCCAGCACAAAATCCGGATCGTCTCACCAGCAATTGACCTGATTGAACTGATCGCCGCTCGCGGAAATACCTCTTTGGAATCAGCTGTCGCCTTGGTAAAGGAATTGCGTCTCGAGATCCAGTCGCTTGGTCAGCGCTTCGCCAAAGCCGCGGAAGCCTCCGAGCAAATAAACAGAAAGTCGAGCAAATGGAGTAGTCAAGCCAGAGCCCAGAATGAGGCAGACTTGAGCCTCATCATTAGGGACATCAGGGCTCTACTGGACAGGATTGAAGACGCGGTCCCTCTGATCAACCTTGCCATCACCACCTCAGGTGCAAGCCTTTCGACACAATTACCGCAGACAGTCTCGCCCTCTCGACTTCTCCAGGCAAGCACCTTCCTCACAGCAGGCGATACGCAATACTCCATGTCCCCGAACCATGCCGTCCAAATCGGACCCACTTTCACTCTAACTGTCTATATGCTCTTCGCGGGGCACAACCGGCCTCAAGATGAAGAAGAGCTTCGCGAAACGACCTGGAAAGAAGTCATTCACAAAGCTCGAGTCAAACTACGCCGTGTGCCTCTCGACCTCGTGACTGGCTCTGACAACATCCCCTCTGCAGACATCACGTCGCCGGTCAAACTTCCCTCCATTGACAACAACAGACCCAGCATCCGCGGCCCAACCCGTGCCGACGAATACGCCTACCAACTCCTCATTGTAGAAGACTTTGACGATGACCGCGTGCACGACTTTTCCGACATGCCACTCCGATCACAACCTAGCCCTTTCGACGACGTGGCCCTGGCCGGCATACGTGAGACCATCCCCGTGCATGAGATCGGCAAGATCTTCTACGCCGATACGAGTAAAGTGTTGAACATCGGATCCGACGCAGAGAGCAATCACCCGGTCTTGCTCTTGAAGCGAGATTTGAACGCCGTGCCGCCAAGGAGAATGGCGGAGAGGGACGACGCTACAGGGGCATGGCGGGATGGAGAAGAAGGGCAAGAAGATATCATCACACTAGAAAACTATCGGCAGCCTCAAGTCGGAGACGATTACCGTCACGCACATGCCCCCGCCCACGACGACACCGATCCGTGGCGGCTCCCGCCCTCGCTTGACCCCGAGTGGATCGCCTTCGAAGTCTACACCGAATCCGAACCTAGCGACTCTGAGTCTGAAGGCGCGGGCGAGGGCGAGGCTGCGGGCGGGGGCGAAGACTCAACGCTCGAAGATCTTCCACCCACCGACGAGGCAGCGTCTCAACTAACCTCCCATCTCTCCTCTCTGCACTTGAACACCCCAACCCCCACCCTCAGCCCCACGCCCACAACCACACCCACTCCTTCGCATGGTCACGGTCAGGAGCTTCGAAGTACCGCCCCACCGTGGGCCAACAAGATCGTCACGTCGCTTTCCCTCCTCGAACTCCTCCTGAGGCTCACCTCGCTGCAGCAGTTCCAGCAGCAATCCCACCTCTCCATCACAGACGAGCTGCTCACGTTCTTCCTCGAAGAGAGCGCCAGCACGGGCGCCGGCGGCGACGAACGATACAGACAGCACATGCGCATGGAAGCCCGGCGGCGCGTGGGCTGGGATCCGTACAATGAGAGTCCCGTCAAGAGGCGGGGTGAGGAGTATCAGTATCAGTATCACGATCAGAATCGCAATGGGGATGAGCATAACGACGCATATGAAGACCGGTCTAGCTACCGAGGTGGTGGGCACGGATACGACAGTCCGGGGAGCATGAATGATGGCGGACGCAGGGCCACCGCCGCCTTGGGATGGAGCCCGACGAGTCCGAGGACCAGGGATGGGGAGTCACGCGGAGACAGAGATGGCGGGGATCGGATGCGCATGACGCCGAATCCCATGACGCCGATGAGTCCGATGTCCAGTCCCTTGCCGTCACCCCCACCAGCGACACCGGCGGGGAAAGCAGGCCGGGCAGCGTGGCTGAGGAGGGACGGCGACGCGAGTAGAAAGGGGAGTCCGCTAAGGCCGGCGACTGCGTTGACGGATGAAGGGATTGGCACGAGTCCCGTGAGTGGAGCTGATGGGAAGAGATGAAGAGCATGCTGCTTACCAGACGAGACAACAGGGGATGAGGATGGGACGAGTGCACACATGAATACGTGAAACACAAATTACTAGAAGTGAGAAGTGAGAGTCTGGCCATTGATACCCCATAAGCGAATGAAGGCGGTTTTACCGTCAAAACATTGCAAAACACTGTAGGTGATAGCGAGACCGTCTTTCATTCGTGATCCACGCTTGACTCTGGTGTGGTGGTTTCATTTAACGATGAGCTTCATTCGACTGACTCACCGGCCGTGCGGTGTGCCCGTATCCTTGCTCGCATATCCTCTTCCCCGGTTTGGCTGCGCTTGCTTCTGACGAGCCTTGCTTTATTCCCTGATCAGGCCGCCGTCCTAGCTTGTCCCCATTGCTTCCAGCCGGATTCTCATACCTGGTCGTTCTCGATCAAGCCGCTCTCCTAGCTTATTGCCCGTTGCTTCCAGCTGGATCCTCGTACCAGTTGGCTCCTGACGCGATAATGGTATTTCGAGCGACGGCATGCCCGGCAGACTTGTTGCGCCGGGCCAAGTAGGCTTTGTCAGATCGAATGTGTCGGCTCGAAGCGCACAGAGATATGGCGATATGCTCGGCGCCCCGGTTCTGACTTGCTCCGCGACTTAGAGTAGCGTATGATGAGATACATGGGGAGTGTTCCTTCCCTGCCTTCACCTCACTCCCATAGACGCTCTGATCTGCATGATTTGTGCTCTTTCAGCGGGCGAGAATGAATCGATCGTCCTCTGGTCCATGGCTAGAACCTGCTGGATCATTTCCTGGTGCGAGATTTGAGGTTGCTGCTGAGGCGGAGGCTGTTGTTGCTGTGGTAAGGCGGGTGGTGCGTACTGCTGGGGAGGTGGTCTGGGAGGCATTTGGCCTGGCACCATTACAGGTGGATAGCCAGGGTATTGTTGTGGCACGGGCTGTGGAGGCGGCACAGCGGCTGGTTGGGGTGGTCTGGCGGCTTGTTCGACGACCTGGGCCAGGACTTTGGGGTCGACCAGGTTCATAAGGATCAGGGCTTGAAAGATTGCGTATGAGAGTTGCGGCGCGGTCTTGAGAAGCGAAGTCGCTCTTGCGGGGTCGGAAATGGCGAGCCCCTTCATCTGGGTCAGGACGTCGAGAAGCTGCGGTGGAGGGAGGGTAGAGAGGGTTTGTGAGATCGCGTCTGTCGCTCTCAGATTCGGAGGGAGATCGACGCCCGGAGGCAAGGGAGGGAGCACACTTGCGGCTGCAGCGTTGAGGCCGTCGCTGGGCGGAGCACTGGCTTGGTCGTAGTTCGTCGGTACAGAGTCCTTCTCGTTGTTGTGAGGCCAGTCGACGCGGATCTTGCGGCCATCGATCTCATAGTCGTTCAGGTTCCTGACTGCGCTGGCTGCTTGATCTGCGTCTTGGAAGTCTGCGAAGCCGAATCCTTTTGATTTACCCGTGTCGGGGTTGGTCATCAAACGGAACTTGACCACGGTGCCAACTTGGTTGAGGATTCGGATGATGTTCTCCTCGCTGAGATCTGCGACAGGTCAGTTGTGCGCCGCGACAAACTGACCACAGGTCCGCTCACTGAATGGGATGTTGCCCACAAAGACACTGCGGCTCTGTCCAGGCGCCATCGTTGGTAGTTGCAGAGTCGATGTTGAAGCACAAACATTGACTATGTCCTCAGATTGTGGTGCGATGCGACACGGAGAGAAGCACCGCGGGATCCGATGACAACGGCGCGTTGGCACATCTGCTCCCCCGTAGCGGACTGCGCGGAGCTCAATTTGGATGCGAGCATCATCGACATTGCCTGCCTGCTGCTCTTTATCCCGGGTGCCACTCCTTCACCGATCCCTTTGTTCCTGACAAAGGCGCAACCATGTCCTACGACCCAAGGGAGCATTTCCAGCAGATCCAGCGGACACTGCAGCAGCGTCGAGGCCAAGGCTTCGGAGGGCTGCCCGGCGGAGGCGGCGCTGCAGGGCGAGGAATCGTCGCTTTGGTTGGTCTAGGTATTGCTGGCGTCGTTATCTCAAATTCCCTCTTCAACGGTAATTGCCCCTGATCATTAACGCTTGCAACGGCTCTGACGGGGGCTTCAGTGGATGGTGGCCACCGTGCGATCAAGTACAAGAGAATATCAGGTGTAGGGAATGAGATCTACAACGAAGGTACTGGGATGCGCTCACTTGCTGGTTCTTGCATGGCTAATGGGACTAGGCACACATATCCGCCTACCCTGGTTCGAGACACCCATCGACTACGATGTCCGAGCAAAGCCACGGAATGTCGCATCTCTGACGGGCACGAAGGACTTGCAGATGGTCAACATCACATGCCGTGTTCTTTCAAGACCTCGAGTCGAGGCACTACCACAAATCTACCGCACATTGGGCACCGACTACGACGAACGCGTGCTTCCCTCTATTGTCAACGAGGTGCTCAAGTCCGTGGTGGCCCAGTTCAACGCCAGTCAGCTCATCACACAGCGAGAGAATGTTGCCCGACTGGTCAGAGACAACCTTACAAGAAGAGCCGCCCGGTTTAATATCATGCTTGACGATGTTTCGTTGACACATCTCTCATTTTCACCCGAGTTCACGGCTGCTGTCGAAGCTAAGCAGGTTGCCCAGCAGGAGGCCCAGAGGGCGGCCTTCTTGGTCGACCGAGCCAGACAAGAGAAGCAAGCAACCGTTGTCCGCGCACAGGGTGAGGCCAGATCGGCAGAGCTGATCGGCGATGCCATCAAGAAGAGCAGAAGTTATGTCGAACTCAGACAGATTGAGAACGCCCGCAATATTGCTACGCTTCTGCAAGAGGCGGGTGGCAAGAACAAGCTGTATCTTGATGCGCAGGGTCTTGGGCTCAACGTCGGTGCTGGCGAGTTCGAGGGTTCATCAAAGAAGTAAAAGCTCGCAACATGAAACTGGTAGATGGATCCTGACAAGACGGTTTTCTTGCGGATCCTCACTTCCTTTAGCCATTTTTCAACAGCAATAGCGCTCGATCCACCCAATGTACAATTCTTCACTCGGATATAGACCTTTCTTGACTAGATGTCACGCCAGAGAGTAGCAAGTAATTTTCGTTGTCCTGCTCCAGCAGCAAGCATGAGTATGTACTGCGGAGTAGAGATAAATTGCAGATCTGCCAAGGGCGGACCAAATGAGCATCCCGGCCTGAACGTTGCACTCACTGCTGCTTGACCAGGATCCTCCTACCGCTTGATGGGGTTGCACAGTGTCTTGCTGAGCAAATAAGCTGCATGACTCTGACCATGGCGTGGCCGGGCCCTCCTCATTCTGGCGGCTGAAATATGTTCATCAATGGTGATTCAGGACAACATCGCGGCGTGGCCAAAGTGATGGAGTGATTCCGTGGGCCGAAGTCTCTCCCATTCCACCCCGTCCGCTGCACGGTGTCCCGATCAAAACATGGGGTGCCTAGGTCGTGGTCATCAGGTAATGTAGTTGCCCTCCTTGTTGCTTCTGCGGTCTGTCGAGCGAAGAAGATCTCCGCCAACACTACACTTGACTGACCCAAAATGTGCAGTGTGAGCATGACTCGAGCCAGCACGATGCCACAGGTTAGAGCCACCAGCACCACGGCCACGGCTCGTCGTCACCTCACCAAGCATGACCGCTACCAGGTAGTGTCCGCGTCGACGACATGGCCACCTCCCTTCATCCTAACCAGCCTTCATTCTCCTGCGGCATATCAACAATATCTTGGACTGCCGCCTGCAGTAGCCTCAACACCTGCGCGGACACCGACCTCTACGGCGATGGGTTGCCACCAAGCCTGGGGCGAGGCACCATCGCGACTGTGTCGACGTGGGCGTCCACTTCCATGGTTCCGCGATTCCCTCCTCGTCCTGGGCTTCAGGGTGCTGCCGGTTTGCGGATCGACACTTCCAGGCACCACCTTCAACAGCTCCAGGTCCACACGAGGGAACACATGGCTAAACCGAGGCAGCCCGCCACCGTGCCGGCGCGGGCAAGCACCTCAAACTCTTCTTTGCTTCTCACTTGTACTGTTACCTGGGATCTCCCAGGCCACTCTTCAGGGCGCTCGGAGTAGGCGACTCCTGGGGCTTAGGGCAACAACATGTCGACGTCGTGGGTGTCATTCGCCGTAAGTTTATGAACTTCCAATTTCCGCCCAGTCTTGACCTTGGCCTCCACTCTCAGCCCCGAGTAGTACTCGGCGGAGGATATACGGCTTTGCCTTATGCGGGTACCGAGAAGACCCAGGGCCTTCCTCTGGCTCCGAGCACTAGAGCCAGTGAAGAGTCCCCCTTGGCCTAGTCCATCAAGTTTTTTCGGAAAGTTCGCTCGCTGGCAGATGGTATCTGGAGGTAATCTGGGCTTTGTGACTCAAATTTTGCTGTTGCTCAGAGGTAGACAACGTTGAAAGATTGGGCAATATTTGGCGTCGCCGGGCCGTCAGGCCCCTGCCTTCAGTCCTCACAGCATGTCGGCGTTCACAGAGAGCGTTTCCTTTGCTGTTCAGAGGAGAAGACGCTTTCTGTTCTTGAAAGCCACAGCAAGATCGCATGTCTCGTGTTAAGGCACGCATGGATGGGTGGTTGAGGTTACTAAAGATGGCTTATAGGAGAGATGTTTGCTTGAAGGAGAGTCTGGTTGAGAATTGACAAGATCATACGGAGTACTGCTTTGTCCTGCCCAAAGAAGAGCTGCTCATCGCATCACCGCACCACCGGGGTGGACTACAGAGCACAAAGCACGATCAGCGTCTGGTTGGCCGGTACCCCATGTGTCCCGGGGTGGAGCGCAGAGACGAGGCTCGCGTCCCTTCATTCAACCCTCTGTCCCTCAACCGTTCAACTCAACCAGCGCAAACATCTCCCACACAACCACCTCAAACACCACCTGCATCTCAAACTTCTTCCTCATCTTGATCAGTGCTTTGGAAAGACTGCCTCCTCATTTTCTTGGACGCCGTACTGGCAATTTTGGATAAGATTGGCCTTGATCAAGTCGGAAGACTCTCTCATCGTTGAGCGACCGAACCTCTTCAGATCCGCCGTCATCAACCCACCAGAGATATCTGAGGCTAGCTTCCTTCATCGAATCCTACATCGTCAATTCTTCGAGCTTCGAGCCTTCCTGCAAGAGTCTCAAATTCTCGGGGAGGCAGCTCTGTCAGATCCGTCCCCCAGAACACGCGTCGACAACCCACACCTTCTGACCTGCTCAAATCTTCCGGCGACGTCTTAGCCTTCTGAAAAGCCTGTCAATCTGCTCACTCCCGCGCTCCACCCAGCGCGCTGGTCAGTGCGTAGTCTGTAAGTCATCGCCACGGCCACGACCACATGAACAAAGCTGACAAACTTCAACAGTTGAGCCGTTTCTTCCCTAGACAATATCCTCAAACCTTCTCCTCAGCCCGGTTTGAGAATGTCTTCGATCGTCTCAGAAGAGGATGCTAGTTCTACCAGCGCATCAGCGGCTGGGCCCGATGACTCCTTCCGGTATGGAACGCGCTACCAAGGTGAAGTCAAAGGAACCAATAGAGCGAGGCGGTCAGCAAGGCCGTCAACCTCGCAAAACCCGCGAAGGCAGAGGAGATTAGATGAACAGCCCGAAGAAGGGAAGGTTCCAGGCACCAACAAGCACTACAAGCACTATGACCTTGGCACGAAAGCATCTGAAGTGTACATGGGGTTCCAAGATGGTGTGAGAAAAGGGTCAATGCCGCCTCCCGGGAAACGCGTGTACCGAGACATCGTGTTGGCACCAACTGAATCTGATGACACGAGCTGGGCGACAGGCGGCGATCGAATAAAGCCAGGCTCTGAAGAGCTTCGGGAACTTCGAAGAATTTATGGTACCGGCAACCGCAATCCGGTTGCAAAAGCCCTCCGCCACAAGCCTTCGATTGGGCATCACTCCCTCACCGAGGACAGCGAATCAGACGAGGCTGTTCCGGTAAGGGCGGCCGCACCACGTCGAGCTCGCCAGCCCAGAGCCAATCGTAGGGCAAGGTCTACGACACCTACGGAGGATGATGCTGACAAGAACGACGACTCGGATGGTGACGGCGGAGACAACAAAGTAGGCGAACACAATCGTCTCGACGTTACCACGTATCCATTGTCGGATATCAGACAAATCTTTAGCCTCATTACCGAACATGCCGTCAATGAGGGTCTGTTGGAAGCCTCGAAGGTCTTTGGCGAACAAGGCATCAAGGTGGTCACCATGTGCTCCGGCACAGAAGCACCCTTCGTCGCGCTCGATCTTATCCGAAAGTCGCTGCTCTCTTCCGAGGCACGCGAGAAATTCAAGTATCAACATCTGGGCAGTGCTGAGATCGAACCTTGGAAGCAAGCCTTCATCCTCAGAAATTTCCACCCACCAATCATCTTCCGGGATGTCACGGACTTCGAGAATCATGCAGCCGACCCAGACGACGAGGAGCGCTACCCTGTCACAGCCTATGGGCAACGTATCGAGCCTCCTCGAGGTGCTCATATTCTGGTTGCTGGCTCTTCTTGCGTGGACTACTCTACCCTGAACAAGATCAAGACTCAGTGGAAGGGAGAAAGAGGCGAAGGCGAGTCGGCCAAAACAATGAATGGCATCGGCGCCTACGCCAAAATGTACAAACCGACCGTGATCATCATCGAGAATGTCGCCGGAGCGCCATGGGACATGATCAAGATCTTCTGGGACGAGAAAGGATACGAAACTGTCATTGTGAATTTGAGTACGGTCGACTACTATTTGCCACAGACTCGCCAGCGGGGATACTTGTTCGGCGTGCACAAAGACATTGCAAACCTGGCAGGATTCGACATTCAGCAAGCTCATAAGGAATGGATCCACTTGATGGCTGGTTTCCAGCGTCGGGCGTCATCCCCATACTCAGATTTCTGTCTCGGCGAAGACGACCCGCGCCTGCAATCGCTCAATCACATGGTCACAGACAAGTGGAAGAGAGGAGGCTCTACTGACTGGGTCCAGTGCCGAAAGCGACACGTACAGGAGCGTGTAGCTCATATGCTTGGAAGCGGCACCCCGTTTACCAAACGCCGAGGGCATTCGCAAGCCCAAGTCGACGACTATGCAGACCAGGCGTGGGCGCTCAAGCAGAGCAAGAGAGTCCTCGACATGTTGGATATCCGTCACCTTGACGACGTGGCTAGGCGAGACTTCGATATGCGGTTCAAGCATAGAAATGTCAACGTCTCGCAGAACGTTGACCGGGATCGAGATAGTCGCCAATGGGGCATCGTTGGTTGTGTTACACCCAGCGGCTGTCTCTTCGAGACTCGCAGAGGTGGCCCTCTCACTGGTCTGGAAATTCTCGGACTACAGGGATTCCCCATTGGAGATCTTCAGCTTGAGAAGTACACATCGAATCAGCTCCAGGACCTCGCTGGAAACGCGATGTCGACGACCGTCATTGGCCCAGCGATTCTCAGCGCTATCATCGCATGCTTCCGCGTGTATGAGGACGGTGAGGGAGAAAGACAAATCTTCGAGGTGACAATGGATGACTGGCACGACTCGAACGAGGACGAGCCCATGGAGGATGCACCCGTGTGGGAAGCATTCGATGAACGAGAGCTGGAAACAAATCCCTATACCACCGCTCTCATACCGTTCAGGGAAGAGTTTCCACATGTCCGCATTACGGAACAGGGCCCGTACTCCCTGGCAAGCATCGTGCAACAAGCCCACGATCTCCAACTGCTATGCCGCTGCGAAGGCCTGCACCGACGCACTTCCGAAGAAATTGTTTATTGCCCAGATTGCTATTACACATGCTGCAAGGGGTGCAGTAGAGACACACACGGCCACAAGGCCTTGAGCAAACTGGATATCTCAACATCTCAGCGCCCAGTCGCCGGTACATTTGTGAAGTTCTTGATTGAGGTTCTACCTGCCACGCTGCAGAATCACAATGCGAGGACCTCGCGGGGCTCCTTCACCGAAGTATCTTCTAAAGAAATCAAAAAACGAATCTCAGAAGCGCTTCAGAGTCAAGTACAGTTTCAAGGCGTCAAATTTGAGGGTTCCTGGAAAGCACTATACGAATCAGAACATGCCCTGCTGGAGCTCGAGTTCGTCCCAAACCATCACATATGCGATCCCTGCCGAAAGCACGAGAGACCGCATCTCCACCTCGATGTCGTGCCGGTGTGGTTGCTCTTCGCGAAAGCACCAGCAACGGCGCCCGTGAAGAGCAAGATGCGAGAGTTGTTCAAACATCCTATCGCCAGCATGACGCCAGAAGGTACACTTTTCAGCGGCAAGTGGAAGCTCTGGGATGGTCCGACACGGTCTTCAGAGCTACACATTGTCCGAGCAGGCGTGCAAGTCGCTTCGTGGGAGCGGAGACTCGGACTTGACCAGACGCCCTTCCGAGACCTGAATTCATTTTCTGCCATTGAAGTCAGCCCCTCAACTTCCGTCAACGTCAAAGCAGTTTCGCTAGTTGAAGAAATTGCAGGAACGTACGAGCTTCTTCCACATTGCCCTGCACCAAACGGCACGCTGCATCGGAGAGTAAGTGGATCCGGACCTGGAAAAGCACCTCCTTTTCTCTTCCTGCGGTCCCAACCTCTGCAGGATGGCCGTCACGATCGCATTGTGTTCTCAAATCAACCTTTCCGATCAAATGCGACTGATGATAGAACGGTGCTGGCAGCCCTCGACAAAACATGGAGACCAGTCGCTACTGCCAAGTTGCATGAGGGTGAAGAGGTCCTGTGTGATCCCGTCAGCCTATGGACGGACTGTCCAGCTCAAGAACTTCAGATGCCTAGAGACGAGAACACAGTCTGCAAATGGGTTCTAAGAAAGGAGGCAGATCCCGTGTCTGCTGCCGCCTGCGTCAATGCTCTATCCACAATTTTGCTTCTTGACTTGACGTGCGACGCCAACGCCAGAGCGGCACTTGCAAATCGCCGAGAAATATGCATTGTTCTGGAACGCAAACCCGAGGCACTGAGCAATTTTGGTTGGATTCTGTCCCACGCAGCAAGCATCCCGCATCCCTGGAATCATTGGCAAAACATCAACTTCTCAGAGGCTGTGGAGTGCGCGGTCTGTTCACCTGCACAGCCCTGTATCCAATGGCTACTGAAAAAGACTGGCGCCAGCGAGGCCGTCAAGGCTATTGAGAGTCCACTTGAAGCTGCAAGATATGAGAATGCTTTGAGCAACAGACCCAACCCAGCAGTAGCACTTCTGCGCGATGTTGACGGCAAAGCATTACTCGATGTCAAGATCAACGTCAAGACACTTGCTCACCGCGCTGTCGCTCCATTTCTGCTCAACCTCACCCCGCAATCTGAACTGGAATCTCTGCAATGGCGCCTGGATCATTACCATCAGTTCAGTCCTCACCCGAAGTTCACCCTGCCAAAGCTTCTGTCCAACAAGTTTGATAAGATCGATCAGAGCCTGAAAGGGAAATTAGACCTAGAACGGGACTTGTGGAAGTCGCAGCTACAGGCCCTCGCATGGATGATTGAACAAGAGAACTCTCCCAAGGTATGGGACGAAATGTCTCTGACTGAATCCTGCTTGCCGGCGCTTGGGTGGAGACTGGAGGCCAAAGCACTCTTGCGTAAACACAACATTCGTGGGGGAGTCATCGCCGACGAAGTTGGAGCAGGAAAGACGACCACCTCTCTCGCTCTTGTCAAATACGACTACCAACAACGTCAATCAGCGACTGCGACACAAGTCACGGTAGACTCTGAGTCAGAAGCCGAATCAAACAAGGGCAATGGCAACCCGCACTTCGGAAAGTTAGAGACCAATGCCACGCTCATACTGGTGCCCAAGAACATTCTCAGCCAGTGGGAAGGCGAAGTTGAGAAATGCCTCAAGTGGCACAAACTTCAACCTACAGAGAAGTGCGCTCTTGAACAGAAAGCTCCTTACTACATTACGATCAAGGACGTGCCGGATTTGCAGAAGTACTCTCACGAGCAGATCAAATCAGCCGCGCTTGTTCTTGCCGCTTGGGACCTGCTTGGTCAGAAGGCTTACTGGAACCACCTCCGCAAGATCGCTTGCTCTGCCTGCACTCCCGAAGATCCCGGGCGTGCTTTTGAAGAGTGGTTGAAGGAGACTCTGCCTTGTCTTGAGACCTGCGTTGAAGGACTGAAGACGAGTGTCGTCGATTTTTGGACTACGTGGGACAACGTCAGACAGCGGACGGAAACCGATCACAAGTACGAGAAGTTCGAAGGTTTCCTGACACGGCAGGCCAAGCGGACCATGATGGCCAAAGAGCGTGCTGATGCGAAGAAGAAGGCTGTCAAGGGCAAAGGCACTGCAGGCAAGAAGGCATCTCAAGACAAAGACGCTATGGACATTGAGATCACCGAGACTGCTCTGGAGAAATCTCGGGACGAACTAGACGGATTCCGCCGAGATGCACATCGCCGAGGCCAGCCCCTGCCTCCCCCCGTACTGCTCCATATGTTTGCATTCCGCCGCCTGATTGTGGACGAATACACCTACATTGAAGGCGAAACGTTACTAGCGTTGCTTCACCTTCACGCAGCTAGGAGATGGATGCTGTCAGGAACGCCTGCCATCCAAGCATTTGACAACCTCAATACGACGGCAAAGCTGATTGGCACCCAGATTGCCACGTACGACGAGGCCGAGGGGAAGTTCGGGTTCGGGAGGGACGCCACGAGGATGACGCGCGACAAGTCTCACGGGCAGGAGATTCAGTCATACCAGAACGTGGCGTCCGCTGCCCTCAAGGAAGCGGTGTACGAACGTGCGAGAGTCTTCTCGCACCAGTACATCCGCAAGAACGAGCCCTCTCAGGGGCGGGCTGAAGCGTCGACCTGTCTGTCGCGGGTCGCCCTCAGTCCATCGGAGTGGATCACCTGCTCCGACGTTCGTTCCTTGGCGATGGACCCAGATCGACCCTTCGGCAAGGCCGGGCCGACCAAGGAGGTCGACGACAAGGACAAGGAGGTCCCTGCCAGCATCGTGCGGCTGAGAGACCTGGTCGAGCGGTCGGCCTCTCCACAAGACGCCCGCATCTGCTCCAGTTTCATGCTGGAAGAGATATGGCCAGTAGTCCGTGGGGACGCTGGTCATAGTCTCGACCGACAACTCATCGGTGTGGAAACGCACCGCATGAAACAAATCATCATGGAGCAGACAATGCATGTCCGCTCCCGAACCAGCAAGCTTCTCCCGCTCCTCCAGGAGCTTTGGCATATGCACCGCTTGGTGCGCCATGGGGACAAAGGAGCTGCCGCCAGCTTCACTGGCCTTAGGGCCAGTGTCAGCAATGGCAAGCTGGCGGGCATGCATGCGGTCGCCGTCGTGGAGAGTCTGCTGGGATACGCCCGAGGGCATGAGGTTGTGCCGGCCTCATTGCTCTCAAAGACCAAGAAGGACCCGGCCGGCGCCGGTCGCGTGAACCTGCCGTGGGATGCGGCGGAGATGGGGAACGCGGCCGTCGCCGTCAAGGAGTTCGACTTGCGGATGGCGCAGGTGGAGAATCACGTCGAGATTCTCATGCGGGGCCTGCGTCGTCTGCGCCTGTTGAAGGCGGTCTTGGGCGCATTCCAGCGGAGGCTGGGTCCATGCGGTGGTTGTCGCGCTGCGCTGGCGTGGGAGGCGGCCGTTGTCTCGACGTCGTGCGGCCACGTCGTCTGCTCCGAGTGTGCCTCCTCCGAGGCATGCTGTGGGGCATTCGAGGTCGGCGACGTCGTCCCCGTCTCCCGGTTCGCCGTCTCCTACGTCGGCGCAGAGGTCCCCGGCACGGTGACGTGCTCTCGACTCCGTCTCGCGGTGTCCCTCGTCCAAGAGGCCACCGCGGCCACCGACTCGGTGTTGGTGTTTGCCCAACACAAGGGCATCAAAAACGCCTTCATCGAGGCGTGTGGCGAGGCAGGCATCACCTGCCTCGACGGTTTCGAGGCCGGATCCGCGGCGAGGGCGGTGGAGGCCTTCCGTGCGACCGGGCCTGCCTGCCTTGTTCTCAAGGTGGACAGTGCCGATGCCGCCGGTTGGAACCTCCAGCGCGCCAACCACGTCGTGTTCTTGTCGGTGCCCGTGCTGGGTTCGGTGGCGGAGGAGGAGGCCACCAGGGAGCAGGCTATCGGCCGGTGCTGGCGTCCTGGCCAGACGAAGCAGGTCTTCGTCTACCAGGTCGCTGCCAACGAGACCGGTGAGCTTGGCCTGGTGGTCCGTCAAGGAGGCTCAACGGCGTGAGCGGCGGTGGGTGGTGGGGTGCCTTGTCGGCTGGCGTGGGTCTCTGCGGTGTACCGTGGTGGTGGTGGCTGGTGGTGCTGGTGGCGGTTTCTTTTGCTTTGCTGGGTGGTTCTTCGTTGTGCTGTGCGCTGCGCTGCGGCGCTGTGCTGGTCGGTGCGGGTCGGTGGAGGCGGCGGCCTCAAACGTTCCGTGTTGCTTGGTTTCTTGTCGTTTCCTTTGTTTAATAGACTGGAAATGAAAGGCAATGTGGCACCGTTTCCGCATTCCTTAGCCCCATCGTGCGTCGTGTACATCGTGTAACTTCCATCGTGCAACTGACATTGTGTGTCGTGTTCATCGTGCATTTTGCATTGTCTGCATGACGTATATCGTGCCAAGTGCGTAGTATACTTGCTTACTGTCTCCAGGGGATCAACTCAACTATCGACCAGTTCTATCACTCAATAATCTATCCGGGTCTAATGCGTGCAGGTCGATGCTGAAGATAAACCTAATAGCTAGTTTGGCTACGATATGTGCTGATGGTGCTAGGGCTTGATGCAGTGAGCGATACAGTAGGTGATATAGTAGCCGATATCAGGGACGATGTATTGGACGATATTAGGGACGAGGTAGTAGACGATATTAGGGACGATGTTAAGGACGTTATCAGGGACGATATTAAGGACGTTGTTGAGAACGATATTAAGGACGATACAGTGAATGATATTAAGGACGATGCAGTAGACGGTATTCCACCAGTTCACAGCGTGGGTAAATTGATTACAACGGGCTGCATTTACTAACGGGCTACGTTCACTAACGGGTTTCGATATCTCTTAATCTAGGTATTATCTATCCGCTCAACACAACAGCTAGCTCTCCCGATGCATCAGGTATCGACCCTTATAACCTACAACACCTGTCCGCGCCCGCCCTGTAGCAGCAAGCATTAACCTTAAAGGATCTTCAATATATGTTATTCGTCCTTCATTGACAAAACAGCCACACATCATGATACTAGGTTTCGACCATCGCCATCACGACGCCACAACACACCCTCCACCAGTGCTTAGTATCCTAAAGGATACCGCTATACGGCGTTCGTCCCTCATCGACAATGTCACTGTCGCTTGATGGACCGTGCGTGTACCATATCACCACTGCCTCTATACTTGTCCTCCTTTGACAATCTGTGCTCAAGCATGCGTCCCTTCCCATAGCATCACATTTTCCGCCATCCACAATGTCGGGCCACAAACTCCTGAGATGGTGGGGTTGACCGCTTGGTACATTCGGCTCACAGATTTGAATGTAAGACAATGAGGACGGGGTTGATGTGTGCTGCAGCCCAGCTGCCGTCAGCATCGTCTTCGACAGACTAGCCAGTGCTGATCCGCCGGCTTTCTCATCCCAAAGCTCTTGGAACTGCCAATATCCAAAGTCAGCCTCATGTCACCGAGCCTTGACCGGCGCATCAAGATGCCGGAATGGATGGTGGTCACGAAACAACTCCCATTCGCCACCTGATATGAGGGAGGCCAATGCCAAAGTTCCCCTACCCTCACTTCAGTGAGATCACTCCCCTAGAAAATTCTGATGGGCTCGCGACAGAGAAGTCAGTTTCGCTACAAATCCGAGTTCCGCCTCGCCTAAACCCCTGATACGTCCTCAGCCTCGTGCTGAGTCACCAAGCCTGTCACATGACACAGCTTCTGTGCCGCACCGTGTTTGGCGACGCTGCAGGCAAGCACAGCCATCCGAGGACAAGTACGTATATCCTGCTACGGTTTGCGCAGTCTGGACTTTTTCGGCAAACTCACATACCACGACGAGAAATTTTGAGAATGCCATCAATTTGCCGCTGCCTGAAAGCCAGCGCACTGAAACTATTCGGCGGTTGACCTCGTGGCAGTCTTCTGTGCTTTACAACTTTCCCGCTGCGCTGTAACAGCTGCCACCTGAGAGTCTCCCTCCTTATGCTTGTAAGCTGCTCCCAGGCGTTTTCAGTCACCGTCTCAAGTTGAAGCTGCAGGGTTTCATCAATCATTTCTTCGCGGTCGCTGATGCCGGCTGACTTTCCTGCACGCACAACTTTTGACGGATAGCCTACCTCACCCTTTCCCCTGCCTATCGGCTCCACAACCTCTCCCCGATTAAAGTCTTCGACCGCAAAACGGAACCAACTGGTGACGAGACTTGCTCAGATGAGATGGGAATGTTGAGCAAGGTCGCGAAGATGACTGGCTCCCCTTGCTTCCTCTTCATCATGATACACAGTCCTCCTTGATGGCGCAGCCTTCTCGAAGTTTGGAGCTCGCTCGGCTCCACTGCAACTCTGGGTAGATTGCGCTAGCCGGACAGGAGCCGATGGTAGTCTGTGAGGCGCTGCCCAAGACGGTCATCTCATCCATTTCTGCTGGGGCGGCCAACACCAAATTTAGCATCCCACGAACAACTTCAATGGTGACCCTGTCACCCTACAGCAACGACACCTGTCTCTTCTGCAGTCATTCAGGGTGCAATTACTTCGTACCTACCTTCGGATCTCCTGGACTTCGCCAATGTACTCATACCGCAACCTGCGCTCACCTGGACGTTGGGTCCTAGACACAATCCCATGGTCTTCAGCAAAGCGGTTTGTTGCCATGTGTTTCGCTATCCGACCGGCACAACATCTCCCTTGCTTTCGTAGTGCACTCGCGTGTCTTCCACGAGCGATCAGGACGAGTAAAGAAATCAGCCAATCAGGCTCGGTCATCGGTGGACTTAGTGGAATGGGACTGAAGGTTCACCAAAAACGGAGTCCGAAATTATGTGTTCGATTGACTGGGGTGGACTCCGCCCTGGGAGCCACGTCCAGTCCTCGATCTCGGGTTAAGGCCCTCGCCCTTCCCTAAACCGTCTTGACGCCCCAGCTGAGGCTGAGAGATGATAAGAGATGGATACACAAGCGTCACGATAGTGCGATCAATGATATATTGTTGGATACACGTTTGTATACGACATACGAGAGGATCCATCTATCCGACATGAATGCGTCCTGGTTGTAGAAGCGCTCTACAGATTTCGTGGGAATCTGTTGACTTGTTTCCATCCGTCCGCGCGGATCTTTGGGGCACGAAATCATATTGCGTCGCTACTGACACACAGCAACCAGGGCACGCGGCCTCGGCGTGCTCGGATAGTATCGTGTAGCATAATTATGATGGCACAACCGACGTCATTTACCCTGGCTCAACAAGAAGCGAGGAAGCATTTCTCGCAGCTGCAGCAGCCAAAAATTTCTGTTGGAGTTGAGGATTGGGGACGCGAGCTCGGGCGCTTTGTGGAGGGAAAGCTGCTGTGGGCCGCCGACGGGCGTGCGGTTGACCGCTTCAGCGAATAGATCGACAATAGTGGCAAGCCTGAGCGTCGCCCGGAGCCAATCACGCCGCCGGGATTCGCGGTTGGCCCTGCTCGGCGATTCACTTTTGGTGCGCCCAACAGCGAAATATCGATGGCCCCCCGGAGCAGAATTAGGGAGACTTATGCACGCTCGGCTGAACGCTTGGGTCGCTGTTTGGCTGCGGGCCGGCGACAGATTCAGCTAAACCCCTTGCGCACTTGCGGCTTCATCCAACAGGCCCAAAAAGTGTCAGGGACACATCTCAGCACGTCGTTGCTTTCATATACCCTGCGCCTTCGTGTCTCCTCGCTCCCCATTGCTGACTTTAACTCCTCCCTCTGTCTCAGACTCTTTTCTCTACCACTACTACCCTCTCCCCGTTCTCCCGGACCTGGTACACTCCTTACTCAGGTCGTAACAGTATAGACTTTGGACTCCGCGTTGGGACATCGGTAATATTGGCGTAATTCCGGTCTCCTTTTGCGGTCCCCAGAGCCACCTTCGATCTACCGCCCTCCCCCCAACGAAGACACCTGTTCTCCCCTAAGAGTCGATCTTTTCACTGCATGAGATAGACCTTCCTCCCTCAACATGGCTCCCGCCGCGGTCAACGGTGTCAAAGGCACCAAGCCACTTACGAACGGCACTCCGAGTTCGTGGCAAGCGAAGCACAATGTGGCGGATCATTTCATTGGGTCCAACAAACTAGAAAACGCTCCTCCGAGCAAAGTCAAGGACTTTGTTCAATCACACGACGGTCACACCGTCATCACCTCAGTAAGTCGAATTTGGCGGAAGCTCCGTGCGTCTGTGGGCACGAGCTGACAGCGCTGATTCTAGGTGCTCATTGCGAACAACGGTATCGCGGCCGTCAAGGAAATCCGTTCAGTACGAAAATGGGCATACGAGATGTTCGGCGACGAGCGGGCCATCCAGTTCACGGTCATGGCCACGCCCGAAGATTTGCAGGCAAACGCGGACTACATCCGTATGGCGGATCAATACGTCGAGGTACGTGAACTCGCAAGGATACGCACAAAGAGAAGGAAGCGGTGGCTGACATTGTCTGACAGGTGCCCGGAGGCACGAACAACAACAACTACGCGAACGTTGAATTGATTGTCGATATCGCCGAGCGCATGAACGTCCACGCCGTCTGGGCCGGCTGGGGTCACGCCTCAGAAAACCCCAAACTACCCGAATCCCTCGCAGCCTCTCCCAAGAAGATTATCTTTATTGGTCCCCCGGGCTCCGCGATGCGATCACTCGGTGACAAGATCTCCTCCACAATCGTCGCCCAGCATGCGAAGGTGCCCTGCATTCCCTGGTCAGGAGAGGGCGTCGACGAAGTGGAGGTTGACGAGGATGGTATTGTGACTGTCAAAGACGAGGTCTACGACAAGGGTTGCGTACATTCGCCACAAGAGGGTCTCGAAGCCGCGCGAAAGATCGGCTTCCCAGTGATGGTAAAGGCCTCAGAAGGCGGGGGCGGCAAGGGTATCCGAAAGGTCGACGATGAATCGCAGTTCGTTGAGCTCTACAATGCTGCGGCCAATGAAATCCCCGGTTCTCCCATCTTCATCATGAAGCTGGCTGGAAATGCCCGGCATTTGGAAGTCCAGCTGTTGGCTGA